TCGACATCGTGCACTCGCCCAAGGCCGTCCGGGAATACGAATAAGGCCTATTGGATGGGAGAATTTTGTCTTCCATCAAAATAACATCCCATGGCTAATAAGCTTGTTTGTTTTCGTAATCTGATTGTGAGATAACATTTGAAATCACAAGGAGAAGATGGATGTTTGCAACTTCTGAAAGTTAGAGGGGATGATAAGGGGAAGATAGCAACCACACCTGAACTCAACAGAAACAAAAATGCAGTCAAATTAATGATAAATATTTATTACTCAAAACTGTATACGGTAAATTTAAAGTATAAGGTACTTGGTAAAAATTCAAGCCACATCAGGTCCAAATCTTATTTTAGACACAGCTTGGAAAGCAATCATATTGCAACCCAACAAAAATCTACATCGAAAAGTGATTCTTCAACCCCCTTCCTAAGAAAGATTGAGTACTTATTATTAAACAAGAACACAATTTGCTCTAACAATTGAACAAATAAGTTAAACTTATTTGAAATTTGACAAGTTTGTAATATTAAAAAGATTCCAATAACCCAAGGGTTTAGTCACAACATTTCAGATGAAGGCTTTTTTCCTTACATTAAGAATCATTTACTCTATTACAAACAAATAATTATATTTTGTGTATAAAACTTTAGTAGTTATATTCCAGTAATGTATGTGTCATTATAAAATAGATTAGGAGATTATGGTAATGCATGCACGTGAATATAAAAGTTTTAATCGGTGTTTGTTGGCAGGATTCAACTTAAAGATAGTGACCAAACTAAAAGTTTTCAGGATATCATTAAATAAAACTTAAACATATTTGCATTTGACTAGCAAACAATTGAAAAAAGAGAGTTATCAGAAAGACCATTTGATTTCCAACATACTCAACTCACAAGGGCAGAATCCTAGTATTATTTACATGTAAGTGGCAACAAAATATTCAGGAAAGCACTCTGCATATACTTTCATGTTGCTAAAAATTTTGTTAAAAAAAACTGTGCATGGTGATGCCTTCAAAAGTAGTATCATCCAGAGGTGTGTTTAGGAAAGGGAAGTTTATTATAATAGTAACGAGGGTTGTAACTTTCTAGACATTAAATACATAAGTGCTACAAATATCCATTTCGCAAAATTTTGAATATTCCATATATTGAAAGCAATCTCCTGAGATATTTACTATCACCTCATAAAATGTCTCCACTCAACTAGTGATGCTCACTAGCATTGAATGAACCTGAAGTATCTTTTATGTCCAAAATCAGTGGCTTAATCTGATCATTCTCTGTAGTCTGCTTGTCAAGTTCTGGAGCTGAAACATTCCCAAAAAATTTTTAATTACTTGAATTTAAGCATGAAGATAAAAAGCCTCTAATGATCAAATGACATTGACAAAAAACTTCAGGAAAATAATAGTTTACTCACACATTTGTTTGAAGTTCTCAGAATTGAACACTGAGTGTGTGGGTAGTGTATTAGGTGTGACAATTACAACTTCTCCATCTTTGTTAAATCCAAAACCATGCTTGTCATCCCAAATGAAACAATTTTCCAAACCTTGAAACAAAAAAAAAACCAAAAAAACCAAAAAAAAGCACTACAGTTATTAGCAAGAAAAGAATCAAAGGTAAGAAAAAAACATATAAAATTATTATTGCATTTTAAAAACTAGTGTTGGAAAGGTCTGAATTCAAAGCGCATTTATTTGCAAAATTATTTGAAACACTTACCTTACAGTATTTCACTGACTTCCTTCTAAGCTTAACCCTTTATGCCCTAACATCATTATATATATTCTCCATACTGTTCTCTATACATTTCCTAAGTTCTAACAAGGAGAATTTGTAAAACCATCAAGGGCTTTGCTACTTGCTGATCATTTCCTGTATTCTCACAACTTAATCATATGATTCAAGGGGTAGACGATTAAGAGGAAATGAGAACCTTGTCACTCTTAAGGATGAAATGGTTAAGGATTACAAACCCTACATTTGGTAGAAATCCATCCAATTTTTTTTACCTGTGAATTCATTTTGTGTTCTGCCAGCCTTTAACAAAATTGGTGCTGATCTGAAATGCCTCACAGCACATTGCCTTGCCATTGTCAATAGCACTTGATGACCTCTTTGTAACATTGCCATGTTGGTTGTGAGGGGTCAAGTTCTCTTGTTCACAAGATGATTCCCTAGGAAGATTTGAGAAACCATGAGTTCCCAACAGCTAAGTAGTCGGTAAGTATTTGGATTATCTTTTGAAGGATTTAATTTGTCCTTGTCACTACCCAAAAACTCGATATCTGACCTGCACACAACTTTCTCGAAATAATGGTTTGCTTATATGCAATGCTGTTTAACTATGTTCTGAGGCAAATGATGATCCAATCATGGCAGTCTTGTCCATGCTTTTCCATGGAAAGTGGCAGATTACTTCTCTAGGATATCAGGCAGTGATTCCAGAGGTAATTGAGAACAACAAACTTGTTAATTGAATTATAAAAGTAATAACCTTCTGTAGGTTATCACTGATGCCTCTCATTGCCCAGTTATTTGCCTTTAAACCTAAACATATAGCTTTAGAAATATTTGATCTACTTGCCAATGACAAATCAAGATCAATTTAATTACCTCATTTTAGTTTAAATGATTATTTCACTGTTTGTTTGCATTGGTTCAGAGAGGCCTGATTGTAAGAGCAGTGAATTTAAATATTTTGAGAGTCCTAGAACAATATCAAGTATTAAAGGTTCATGGAATCTTTTCCTCATAACGGTTTTATCGTAAGAGCAATCATTGTCAACAACTATTGGTCATCTGTTTGCCTCTTTTTGATCTGAACTCATACAGTGACGTACTTCATTTTCAAGTATACATTAAGAGGGTTTTCCACTAAAGAGCCACTTTAAATAGTGGCTTTGTGTCTTTGATTCAAGGGGTATAGCAGAAAATTATTTGATGGGATAATACTAGCATACTCGGAAAAGAGCAAATCTACAAGCTCTAAGGAACTTACAGGGAAGTCCTGGGTATTTAAACCAGGAAAAATACTCTTGCATTTAAAATTTAAAACATTGATATTCAGTCAAAGGTGTAGTCTGTAACTTCGTTGCAATATCATCAACGTCATTATCTCAGAAATTGAATATTCATCAGGGACTTATTGAAAATAAGTTTATGTTGTTGTTAGAAAGATAGTCGGAAACAATAGAAAACCTTGAGTCAACTGGACGAAACGATGATTCGTAGGGATCTTTTTGGTTTTTTCTGCCCCACGCGTGAGTGAAATGAACAAAATTTTATGTGTCGAAGATAAAATTGAAACAAATCACCGTTCATTATGTATTGTATGTCACTGTAAACCGCTAACACATGATAACGAAATCATGAGACCGTCAACAGGTGTTCCATTTTTATGCCAAACTGGTAAACTAGCAATCGGTGGAAAGAAGGTAATGAGCTTGAGAATTTTCTTTCAGCGAACGGCTATAAACGTGTTTCTAGCTCCACAATCTCTGGTTTTTAGTCTTCTGGCTGGGCTTTTATCATTTCGACTCCAATATATGGAGTGCGTGAGTGGCAAGAATCTGGCGCTTAACGAACACGCATGACTTACGTACGCGAAAGCGACACTCGAAACTTATACTAAGAGTAAGATTTTAAACGAGATACTTAGCGGACTATCAGTAATGATCCTGGCTAAATAACAGCAAAAACGGCACAGTATTGAGCACCACAAGAGTAGCACACCATCAAACTAATAATAAAAAAACGTGGTGTAGGCACGTTTTTAGCTGGGCCGGAAGATTCACCGTTTGCATCTGCGACTTAACATTTTACAAATAGTTATTGCCTTCACAGTGAGAGAAACGTTTCAGTCACTAACATTGAAAGTCTAATCTCACCTTTGACACAGCCTTGTATAAAAGGATCGATCCTTCCTTCGACGTGTAGACAGGAAATAACGTGTTCTGCTTACGCTGAGAGATTCGCAACGCACTTTCGTTCTTAGCTCGATAGAAAAACAATGTCATGTGATCATTTATGCATGAGCACTGCGCTTACTATGGGGGACTGTGTGTGGTTGTTATTAAATAGTGAGTTACAATGACGATCCAGAGAGGATTATATGATATTGCTGTGCAAACGAAGATTACCTTATTTCATGTGATGGTCTAGCATACAAAACTGGGGAGAAACTCCTCAGAGGAAATTTGATAAAGGAGTATCGTATTTAATTCCCAACCGTATACCCGATAGGTCGAAGTCTCGTCAAACAAGGAAAACTCGTTTGAGAACTTTTCCACCGGAAGCGGCAAGATCTGCAAGCGGGAAAGATAAGGCGAACCTACACATTTTCACTATCGCCATTCTCGCGATCGAAGAATCCCTGAGAGGAAAGCATCTCATACATTGACATGCTTTTGAGAAATTGACATAACTTCTAAGGAATATTCTTTCCGTGCTTAGATCTTCAAGAGACCGTGTGCAAATTAATTGTGTTGTTATTATTATTTTCCACACCATTGTAGTCAAGTCTCATAGGGATTCTTTTAATATATTCGTACCTGATTTTATTTATTTTGATTCTATAAAATGACAATATACGGCAACCATGAAACTTCGACGCTTTTAAAAATTTACCAAGGGTCCCTTAAATTTCGCAACGTTTCATGGATAAAGGCTCTTTCTTATAAGAAAGATTAACTTTCGGGGGACACTTTTTACGGTGATGGAGTTGCATAACACAACAAACATTTTAACTGATTGGTCAAGTTGAAGGCAAAAAAGTATTCAACCAACATCCAAAGAGACAGGGGCGATAGGTGGGATTTTTCAAAAGGGGAGGGGAGAAGGCGGGGGAGGGGAGCACATCGTGTCATATACAAGGTACCTACCCGACGACATGTTGACATCCACGCCGAGCAGGAGCCATTAAGTAATTCCTAATGGGCTCCTACGCTGAGTGAAACCAAATCAGGAACTTCAAAAATTATGGCATCTAATGTAAAAGTTGTGAGAGGGCGCTAGAATATATTAAGGCTCGACTACGTCACAGGTTACTGAGGCACCTTTCATCAAGGGGGGAGGTTAAGTTGCTTCACCTTCCATTATTTTTACTATTTCAGGGGCGGATCTTGGGGAGGGGTACAAGAGGTGCGCAACCCCCTCTCCCAAAGATGACCTGCGGCTTTCTAATTTAAATTCACGGTTGTACAAAATCTGCTGTACTGTTTACTATGTATTCTCAGCAGTTTACATTATGTTGATGCCAAGTCATAACCCTTCTTCTTTGTTCGTTTTTCACCTGTCAGTTACGTCATTCTTTTGTGGTGCACCCCCTGCTTAGGAAAATCCTAGATCCGACCATGCATTTATTTCTTATTTTTTTGTGTTTACGAGGGCAGTTTATGGTTAAATAAGTGGATAAATAGATCGTTAGATTCATAAATGGATGAGGAATAATTGAAGAAACAGAAGATGAATGCATAAAAAGGTTGGTTGTCTTATCATTTAAAGCCCCTTTATAACCGGCTTCGAGGCTTATGCTTATCCAATGATAACGATATTATTTAGCCCCATCGGGGACCTCAGATCATCATTCTTAGCCTTCCATCTAAATGTGATCGTCTCTCTTCTTGATGCAGTGAGCAGAGGCATCTCAGCAAAGATCGTTATCAGCAGAGCTCTGCAACAATCACAGATTACACAAGCTGAGGTTATCACACAATACAAAAACGTGATCGAAAAGTACTTGTTAACTTGAGCCTTGGGCGATACGAACTTTTGATTAACAATTATAGAGTTATCTAAAAGTTCGTTTCGTCATGGGGACTCAGATTTTTTTCCTTTGTCTCTCACTCGACACGAGGCGAAAAGATATCCTTCTTGCCTAAAATTTGCGCTCTTTCTCATATTTTTGGAAAAGTCTGCTTGGAGTCTATGAAAACATACAGCAATAGACCGCGATTTGCATCTCTTACCTAATTCTTGAGCAACTACATAAATGGCTGGTCTGTGATGTTGTGAACTGCTATCTGCTCCATCATTTGTAGGCTCGCCCCGCTCCAAGTTCATTCGATTCGCACCCTGACAAGGGAGCCTAAACAACCGCTTTAGGTGGTTTCTGAAGCGCTCATTGACGAACACGTAAACGAAGGGATTAACGCACGAGTTGAAGGTGACAATTACGATGCCGATGATGTAGACAATGTTGCCATACTGCTGTGAGTCATGAAAGTAGTTCAACATGTAGATGATTAGGACTGGAAACCACGTGACGCTGTACACTAAGCTGACCTGAAACCGAAGAAAAAATAAGTCTGCACGTGCGTTCTCGTGTGGTTAGTCCGCGTGAAAAGTCAACAGGAAACAAAAAATAATTTACCACTTTTTCTTTTGCTAATGTAAAGTTCCTTCAACGAACTCCTCTCAGTTGACAATGTCACAAGCGCTAGACTCTTTTTTATTATTTTTATTATTATTATTATTAGTAGTAGTAGTAGTGGTAAACATCAATGGGTGTATACCATACTGCATTATATATATTATACACTATTAAGTATATGCTAAATACTTCTTGTTGTCCACTGTACTATATTGTTGTCTCGTTTTTAACCTGGAATATCTAGGACATATAGGACTAATTAGTCAATCGTGAGTGTATGCTATCCTGCCGTTCGAAATCAGTATACCTTCGCTTTTATTTCATGAAACGCGTTGAATTTATTCGTCATAAGTCCTGGAGAAAAATTTACCAGAGACCTATGGGTTACCATTGGGATGCTCTAGGGCCCTCTAGCATTCAACCACGGATAGGTCGTATCCATTTGTGATTAAAATCAACGTAACTCACCGTAATCACCATTTTTGTCACGCGTTTGCGTGACTTGAGAACCGCTGCTTGCGTGACGCGAGAACCTTGATCTCGTTTGAACCAAAGTCGCCTAACGACCCGTGCGTAAAGCACGGTCATGAGAGCAATAGGCAGCGCACCGAAGAAAATTAACCAGGAAGTGCTGTAAACGCGTGCCATCCACATAGCTGGCCAATACTCAGTGCAGAAGTCAATCTCTGGATTATACTGCATTGTGAAGAACAGCGGCAGGTTGAATGCTACTGCGAGAACCCAACAGCCCGCTATGACATATTTAACCCTCTTCATCGTTAGCTTGCCTCTGTTACCGTACGGGTGGACGACAGCGAAGTAACGCTCGACAGAGATGGCCACCAGGGAATACACAGACGCTGAGCCACCCAACCAGCTGAAATTGCTGCCAGTAAACAGTTTGCATATAAGCGTTCCCAGCAGTCCGTCTGGGTGATCGAATGCATGAATAAAGATGAAGCGTGGAGTGACAAAAGACACAACCATGATATCTGCTAACGCCAGGTTAAGAATGAGATAATTCATGGGTGTTCTCATGGAGCGATTTGCGAGAATCACGATGCAAGCCAAAATGTTGCCAACCACACTGATCAGCACCAGTATGGAGAACACGGTGGTAATAGCAATCTGAGCTGACAAAGACTGCGTGTAAAACGTCATCATTGGTACCTTTCAAGAATGTAATCTATGAAGATAACAAGTGCGAAGTGGATCAAAAAGCTGTCTCTGTTTTTTCCTTTGGAGGTCTTAGATAGGTGAGCAATATTCCCCGTTAACTCTTTTTTTAAGGATTCAAAATAATCAATCGGTTTAGCTTTCTTAAAAACTGTCGACCACCGTGTGCCACCGAAAGGAGAAGAGAGACCGAATCGGAGTCTCAATGGGGAGATGGTTTTTAAGGCTAACCGTTAAAATTTTGGTCAATCTACGGATAACGAATTTTATCTTTCCATTGTAGTCTCCAGAAAAATATTTACGGCCAATTTTATTTTTTTTTTACGACTTACGGTTTCATTTGTCAATTTTTACGCCTAACGGCTAAGTTTTTTTGGCCGTTTTACGGCTCACGGTTAACCCCATTGAGACCTGGCGCAGAAAGTTCGCGCGAGATCTGGGACGATAAGTCTTACGGCTCCCATATCTTTGACTCGAGACTTCATTAAAATTATACCGTCGGTGCAGCTGCAGGTTTTTTTAACGCAGAATTAAGGATCGCCATCAGTTGGAGATGAGCTCTTATACCTTCTCGAGGTTATCAAAAAGTAATGAGAGTCAAACACATTGTTTCCGAAATTTCCATCCATGAATAACCCTGTACTCTTGATTGTCTTTTGTTAATTATTTTTTATTCGTATACAGGAGATATTTTAAGATAACGATTTACGGAGGAGTGACAGAGACCAATATCGGAATACGTAGGAAGCGGTTGTCTTTAAAATTTACAAAGCCTGGACATTTGTTTAAAGCATCCACGACGAAAATGATTAAAAAAAGTAGAAAATAAAAGAAACACATGGGATGCGCAGCCTTTCAAAGGCGAACGCGTTCGTTATACATAGGTTTGTTTTGTTTTGTTTCTTCAGTTTCATTTTTGTTTTCTGTGTTGTTTTTTTTTTGTATTGTTTTTTTTCCCGTAAATTTCACTCATTTTCTTCTTTATCGACACAGAATATGAGCCCTCCCAACTCCTCTCTCCATCTGTCTACAAACCCAAAAGGCCCCTTTCTTCGGCATTGTGCGAGGCCTGGGCTTATCACGACATTTAACGGCTTCAGCAGAAGATATCACCAAAATACAATAGCAAGAATATAAGTTGGCAGAAGTTTTGGCTGATAAACTCATTTAAGTCTATATTTCTTTAGTGTTTGGGTACGCGAGAGTAACCACGATCTTGTATTGACTTCTCCAACCACAACCAAGAGAAAGTAAATCTCTCATTATTTTCTCTTTCCCGCACAACTGAGTAATTGTGATTAAATTACTGCAAATATATGTATGTTTAATTGTAAAAAAGATGATTAATTTTCGTTTCATGTTGCCTTCTCTGCCAGTCGGGTAAGAATTTATACTTAGGCAAAACTACAGCGGCATAGGGCTGTCTAAACCTGTATCAATTAAAGTATCGAAACAATATATAAAACTGGAGATTGCTCTTGACGGTGTAAAGAAAGGCTGAAGACGGAGATCAAATAGAATTTTCACTGTAAAATTCTGCCATTAAAAGGCAATCAGTTATCAATACAGTTCTCAATGTGTGGTAGATTGCGTTCTGGTACAATTTGCGTAATTTTTTCTTATAAATCCTCGTAATTTTAGTCATCATTACGATTGGATTCACTAACTCAAAGGCGTATATCTCAGATGTCATTTGATTTCGAGTAAAGAGAACGATCAGTTATGCAAAATATATCATTAAAAGATTACAGAAGAAAAAAATTTACCACGAAAGGGAAATATTATGCATTTAGTTCCTAGTTTAATCAATGTTCCTGATTGCAGTTTTTCTTTCGAGACCTTCCAATATGTGTTAACGTTCATGCCTTCTTAACAAAATTCTACTTAAGTTCATGCCTTTCCCAGTGAATCTATTAATTGAATTGTTATTTTCTGAGAGTGAAATGAAACATAGTCTCTCCCTCCTCGCAAAATAAAATAAATAAAAATAAAACAATAAAGATAAAAACTAACAGAAATTAAGGTCAATTTCATGGTTATCCCCGCTGAGAATAAAACGCTTCAATAGATCAGGTTCCAGAATCCTTGTTATCCAAAACCGAAGATTTTTCTAAAATCGCAAAGAAATAATTTTTTCCGAACCAAAATCTCTTCTTTTCGTTCGTAAAAGGGAAAGAACAAAGCAAAAAAAACCAACTCACCGTACTTGAGGTGATCTTGAGGAAAAGTGCTCTCTCTTTTTCACAGAGAAGCTAAGCCGATGTTCCCCTCGATGGAATAATTTACAACTACTTTTAACTACATTTGCCGCATAATAAACAGTATTTTCACCATGTTGCTAGCCTTTGACAAGCCTAAGAAGCGCCTCTTTATTCAAAAGTTATTTTAACAATCGTTGTCTTATCAGCAATGACTTTTTGGACTTGAATACAATATTGAGCTTTCATTAAGACTTCTGCAAAGCAGTTATGACGTAGTCGATTCTATAAAAGAATAATTATTTAAAATCTTTCATAATTTCCTAGATATTTTGCCATAGCTTTTTTTCAATTCGTGACTGGAATTTCTGTTCTTCCCATGCAACGTTTTCAACAGCAATTTTCAGATCTACCAATAATGACTTTGTTGTTGGTTCCATCACGTAGATATTTGGCCACACGCGGAAGGAAAATAAGCATTTGCCTTTTTTCTGTGCAGTCTCAAATTTCAAAAGTCATTTAGTCTCCCGTCCTTTTAAAAGCCATGAACCTTGTTGTCTCCCGTGAATATGGCCTTTTTTCACTTCAAAGACGCATACAGAAGGACAATTTCCAACATATTAGAAGATACCTAATTAATCAGCGAAATCTATGACATATCTCACCTCTCATTGAGGAAATATATTGTTCACTTGAGAGCCCTCTGAATCTCCGAAAACTAGTTCCGGGACAGATGTTGAAAAGAAAGGCCTTTTCATTGGAGAGACTATTTTATGGTATCTGATATCCATAGAAAGTCCTCATTAAGTTGACGAAAAGAAATAAAAATTTTATAAACGGAAACACGGGACCCCATTTATCATTTTAAGGAGTATCAATATCGCTTGGAACGACACTGGACCAAGCGATGCACAAACAGTATAATTAAATATGAGCGAATTGCCATCATAATCCGCTGATATTTTTTCTATTTACATTGATTTTAATTATGTTTTCAAGATCCGAGACAGCATTTATAAGAAATCACCACAAAGAGGGTATTTATATTCTGTAAGAGATTAGAGGAGGAATGGACGGCAAAAAGTTTACCGAAACTCACGTGTTACCGCACGTTCACTGATTACGCATTCGGAGAAAGGAAAAAAGCCCGAATTTTTTGCCCGTCCTTCATTGTAAACAAGAACACTAAACAAAAGAGGCCAGAATTCTCGCTAAAAAAATTTTGATCGCACTTGAGAGAGAACTAATAACTTGTTTTATCATTTGTCTGCCGAAGTCGTTAATTATGCCTTTAGATTGCAGCATTTCACTGTTAACCCTTTAATCCCAAGATCTCATTAGTAATTCTCCTTACTGTCTGGCAAACGATTCTCATTATATTAGTTTGGAGAATTTGGTATCGGATCGAATAGTTATCCCGTTATTGATATTTTTCTTTATTCTCATTACATGTCTGCATGATATTGTATAAATATAATAAGGGGAAATTCTGTCTTGGTCACTCACGGAAATTAAAGGGTTAAGTGATACTGTTGTCAAAGTATGTGATCGATTGATACCTCGGCTGTCATGCAGAGTAAGGTTTCCAATGAGTGGGAACTAACTGAAGCAGAAACACTGAAAATTAGCAGATTAACGTGGGAAGGGAGGGTCCGCAGACTATGGAACAATTTTTTGAACTAAAGCTTTGGCGAGGTAGAAATTTACTACTTACACCAAAAACTGAGCGGATGAATCATTGATTTAGGATGTACTACACAAAAGCTGAATACCTACATTATCCACTTTACTATGGCTGCTGTGAGAAATAACACCAACTGTACTATGAAAGTTGAGAGAGATAACACCATTCCCTTTAGGGACGCAAAAGGTTTCTTCACCATTAACGTGTACAGAAAACCTACTCACACTGACCAATATAGTATCTAGCCTATGACGTACACTACCCTCAGTCAGCAAAACGCGGCGTTATTAAGTGATTATACAACCAGGCCAAACACTTCACAACAAAAGCATAAACTATCTCTCAAGAGAAGAAACGCTTACCATCTGTTCTTGTTTCTTACGGGTATCCGTTTTTGTGGAATTTTGTTTTTCAGTCTTTGTGACACAACATAGCAGTTGTAGTATTGTTAGCGCACTACCAGCAGCGCGCCTCAAATGGGATTAGCATCTGCGCTTCATAGACGTAGACTTTGCTCAATTTCACCAGTTTGCATGGCATGATATGACAAATAAATAATTAAAAAACAAAATCGTTTGTTTTACCAAAATTTGGAAGCCTCCGAGGATGGACCTACCGGACCTCGTCTCCTTTGCAGATTGAATAAATTTTAACAATTCGCATAATTTTAGCAAGTTCTATTAATTGTGTCTAATCGAAAAACTGTACATATACCGTTGGGACTATTATCGTCGTCGCTTTTATGACTTTTAAAGTCTTTTATTTCAAGTTTAGTGTTCTTTAGTACATTTCTTCTTCGTTTGTGATGTCTGGAAATATGTTACACGACATCGTCTATCGTTACTTGGTCTTACTCTCTCTCGTCGATCGATTTTCAGTTTTCTTTCACTTCATATGATTTTCGTAGCACATGTAGTGTATTTGTAGTTAGCTATTTTCTCGATCTTGTTTGTAATTTATTCACACCTCTCATTTCATTTCTTACGATGTGATTTTCTTTGGGTCGAATAAATATACATCAGTTCTGGGAAATTGTTTGAATTCACTTATTTACTCAATCTCTTTGAGCGACTCGGCCTCTTTCACCCCTCATCAAAACTGTGACAAAATTCTCAAACGTGATTGGTTACCACCAGCCCGATTTGAGCACTAACAGGACAGTGTGCGCGTCATGCGTGTAATTGGACAGTGTAATAGGACAGTTGACAAGTCATGCCTGTTAAAGTGGACAGTACGCATCATATGCGTGCGCTACTGTCGCGCATTTCGCCTAATAAACTGTTGTTGTTTATTATTATTATTATGAAAACGTACAACCGATGTCTTGTTTCTTTCTCAAATCTTGTTATAGTTTTAATTAATAAGCTAAAGGACTTCGTGTCGTCCAATAATATCTGTACTCGTACTCATGATTATTAAATCGGACTCTTGCTTTGCGGTCATTAATCACTCGTATGATCCCAAACAGAATCGGACTCCAGTCGGTCCTATTATCACTATCAGTATCGCTGCTTGAATCCCTTTCTGTCTCAAGCTTGAAATCTGGTTTTATATCAAGGCCTTTAATGGGGAAGCAACCATGTAAACCGAATAACAAGTAGTGCTTGTGTATGTGCGCGCTGCGTGCCTTTCCTTCAACAACAGATCGATACAAAATCTGGAAAACTTGCAATTTTCTTTATCCAATTGAAAGTACTGCCACAACATCATTCTTTAAACACAAAGCCTCTGGAAAATTTGTCTACTTGTTTAACTTTTAAATTAATGTCTCTGTAACCAGCTGAAAGCAGATCGACTTAAAGTGCACTCACGATTTTTCGAAATTGTCGCGGACCCACCCTCCCTGAGGTGTTATTTTTCATCAAAATTTTTTATATTGTGTGATCATCATGTCTCCTTGCAATTGAAGATCTTCACTGAGAAGCACTGATCATACCTTATAGAGAGAGAGGGAGGGAGGGGGGAGAGGAGTGATGGTGGGGCGGTGATGGTGGGGGAGAGGGGTGATGGTGGGGCGGTGAGATATACGGTGATAAAACTCTGCTGATAAAAACTATTTATAAATTTTTACGTTTCTTTTTTTTTTTTTTTTTGCATCTCATTTTCATCTACCCACCTTCGCAATTGAAAATAAAAGGGTTGAAGCAGTCACTTAATTCTAAATACAAGGATAAATGTCAATTGTTTAAAGAAAAAAAACAAAACAACTGAGATGAAACGTTTAACACTGATCGATAGATCGATGAACGAGATCTCCTATGGCAGTAAAGTATGAAATCAATTAGCGTTTCACATCATTACAGTGTGGTGGGAATTACTTTTAGCTAACAGATAAGCAAAGAACGTGGACTTCACCCCACTCTTGTTATCAGCCTTCCCACACTTGGTTTGTAAATATTCTTTTAACTAGCAGCTGTTTGTTTTTCAGCTCCCTCCCACTTCACAGTCACGAATTTTGATTACGCACGAACCTTTCGCATGAATCGCACACCACGTGCACGTTACTTAAATCCTGTGCCAAGACCATGATGTAGTGAAAAATTCTTGAGCTTTATCTTTAATTGCGAGGCTCAAATGTAAAATTGAAAACGATTATTGTACTTTGATCGCACATTGTAAGAAAATGAATGTGTTCCTTTCCCTCAAAAACGTTTTTCTTTCTTCTGGTAATGTTCTCAAAAACAGGAACAGTATACTCAAGGCATTTATTTCTTCCAGTTCATTGTCGCATAAGTTACTCAATCATTGATCTTTTTAGGCAACTCCATCATTTAACTGAGAAAATGCCGAGTTTCCAATGACCCATGAGTTCCGTTTTTCCTCAGTGCAACCGGGATTGTTATCACTTTCACATAAGCGCGGGGGACTCAACTTTTTCGTTGTCCCACGCTTGCGACGAATATTTTAAACATCTACCTCTTAATTTGGTAACTTGGTGCAAAATGTAACATCTGTCATATGTGCCACAGACCGTCTTTGATATTGCTGACCCTTGCAGTACTCGGCCGGATGCTTGTCTTAAAAGAATCTACTACAAAAGCAAGTACTTTGAAGCTCAGTTGATAGACATGCCACCTCGAACTCTAATCCTTCTTTTTTATCATTCTTTTTGCCCCTCGCTTACAGCAGGCGTTCAGCATCCTTGTATATCTTGGATATAAGGGTCGACTGATGGTAATTTCTGATAAATTTTACTTAAGCACAAGATATATTTGGAAAACCGGCTTAGCCTTCTTAAATGAGTGCAGAATTTTGATGGGAATCTTCGATCATTTTTATAATATTATAAAAAAATTGGGTCGCATCGTATGGAATATTCATGAACAAAGTTTTTTAGGGTTGTTAATGATAGCTTTGGCTCATCAAAAGCTAAAGTTAACAAATCCAGTGAAGTTCTTTGTTTGAGGGAAAAAATGACGATAAGATTACACGATAAGAAAATGATTTTATCGCGGAAATTTTAATTGCAAAATAGCCTCGCCCAGCTAATCAGAGCACATTTTCCATTTAGGAACTTAAGACAAAATACGAAAATGGAATAATTTAGATAAGAAAAAAGCATTATTGCGGTAACTGAGAAAGTGAAAATTTTTTCTGATCAAAAGGAATGGATCGAAGCGTCGAATTAAGACTGTATTAGTGTTGATTCTACAGACAATCATTCTGTACTTTAAAGCCGTAACATTTAGTTTATTCGAGCAGCTATTAGTCTTTCTGAAGAAGACATGTGCTGCATGCATGGGTGTATTATAAACAAAGAGTAGTTAGCAAATTATCCGCGCATATGCACTCTCTTCTTAAACCACAACATCTCTGGAGGCGCCAGAAAATGCAAGCAAGCACTTTATTTATTAATAAAGTGAAAAAGAAGCGTGGTTTTGATATCAGTCGCGTTAGCTATTCGTGCTATTGAGGAGGAATCGCTCAGGAGCAAAGCTCTAGAACGAATTATAAAGAGTGTGATTAGTCGCTTTGAACCAGAAGAAGAGGAAGTACTGGAACTGGTCGCAAAATGAACAGCGAGTTTGTAACGGTTCTGTTTCTGGTAATATTCGCCTCTCGGCAAGTCTCTGCTTTTGACGGGGTAAATGGAAATAATTTTGATTTCCAAATGAAAGGGAATCTTGCCGAAGAAAACGACAATGGTATTGAGGATATTGGGACAAGAGTAGAGAGGGAGAGAAACAGAGACTTTTACGCTGATGATTTAGAAAACAGTGATGAAGATCTATTTTTTTCCAAAGACGATGATGAACTCAAGAAAAGGTAAGCTATCGAGACAGTCCTGAATTTTTGTCGATTCATCATTAATATCGGAACAATTATGTTAGAAAAAATTTCCCGCAACTGTGTACTCAAATCATTTCAGACAAATATGTCACTGAATACCAAATGAATACAATGTGTTGGAGTAAAAGGAGTGTCTTACAGATTACGAAAAAAATATGGAATCTATTTGATTTTATAACTAGAACACTTTCCGACAATTTAAAAGCGTGATTAGGTCGAGAATGTTAAACGCATTTCCAGTTATGACAAATCATAACAGATGCAAAACAATTAAATGAATGGTTTAATTTCGTAGCAGATCACGAAGTATTCCGCTCAATAAAACCAGTGGATGCAAAATAATTGAAAAAAAATTTCTGGTATTACACTTAATTATGAAAGTGTTTCCTTCGGATGTTACGGTTCTCTCGAAGGATCAGGGTTAATACCAAATTCATTAGATTTTTAATTCCTAGATGTCTTGTTTATCAGCGAATTACCAAATTTTGACAGCTTTGAGAAAGCTGAGTCGAAGTCAGATGTGAATAGTTTAAGCTGACCCAGTTTCGATTAAGATGGAGAGATTACCAATGACGCGTTTGACAAAGAAAAATAGAAAGAGTTGGAATTTGTAGTTGTAATGATATGAAAAAAATTATATTCGTTGTGATCGAATGGAAGATAGCTTTCAACCAGCCCACTGTGCATCTGTCTAAAAGTGCAAAGTTTTAATTACAAAGTCGTGGTTCGACATGTTTGTTAGCAAGTAATTTTTTCTTTAGTAGAGAGAGAAAATAAAAAAAAAAAGTTTTTAGATAGTGCGATTTATAGTTTCCATGTCAATGCATCTCTGAATTGTTATGATTATATAAGAGTTCCAAAAGCGGTAGCTTACAAATTGAACTGAAAGCTTCTTTTTAATCTTGACAGCATTGATTATAGTGACTGGGAGGCAGCTAACAAGTTCACTGAGATCAACGATGAATTAGGAAAAGAAGCTGATGAGGAGGAAAAGGACGAAAACAAAGAAAAAGAAGAAGAGGAAAAAGAAAAGGAGAAAGGAATCCTGAGAAGGTTGTTCGAAAAGTTTAAAAACTGGATTCATAAAGTTGGCAAATGAGAACGATTGCAAGACAAGGTAATTGCTGAACTTGACTTGCGAGTTTTTTCAGCGCTTGAAAACTGACTTGGGTCTGAGATAATAAATCTATTCATCATCTCTGCTATAGAAGAAGGATATACCTAAAAATACATATTTAAGGGGGGTTATGAAGTTTTCTATGAGCATATCTTGCAAAAGGCCCTAAAGGAAACGCAGTTACGTACAAAAACTCTGTAAACATTAAGTGCAGTGAGCTAGATACAAGAGATTTTTCGCTAACATATTTCAACACATATGATAAAATTTAAATGTTTAAGATGCCTAATCTTTTTCAAACCTTTTCAGTATCGACGGTTTCATTTTTATCTGCCTTGACCAAACTGACAGACCGAGTCGTTTCTGCGAATTTTTTAGTACGGATTACTAAAAATATCAAAAAGGAAAACTTGATAAAAAAAAAGTGAAAGTCAACCTGAAATTGTATGCTCTACGCGTCTGAACTGTAACAAAAGGAGCAATTCCCTTCATAAACTAAAACAATCTGAGATGTGATGCGGCTTTCGGGGCCACATCATAAATTTCAGGTTCGAGTCATTTCCGAACAAAGTCCTTTATGAACTCATTTCCTTGTTTATCTTCTGAAAGCTGGATTAAAAATTCAGGAAAATGAGATGAATTCAACATTGTTCTGTATTTCTAAACTTTATTTAATAAACGACTAAATTATACTTTAAAATACAAATAATTAATAAAAGCCACGTAGTTAACGCGAACTGAAATTATTCTTCTTAATTTTAATACAACTCGTGCTCAGAAATTTTCGCTGTAAAAGTTCTTTCGCTGTAATTCAAATGGAGAAAAATTCTTGTGAGGCCAACGACACCCATATCCTCCAGTTATATCCATCGATATCAATGATATCACCACGATTTTCAACACGATTCGTTCAGCGTTGCCGCGCCCAAATTTCCACCAACGATTGAACCTAAAGAGTAGAAACAACAGCCTTATGGTAAAGCCGTGTATGAGAGCCAAGCAAAGAACTCTTAAGAGCAACTCCATGCAAATATCGACCAAAGTGCGGCAAGGCTCAAACA